TGAAGCTTAGATAAAAAGCGTTTCATATATTCCAACGAAGTGATTCTGTTTTAGCATTGGTACTGGATTCAGGCGCTGTTCGGCTTGGGAGGGCGTCTTGCTCGTTCGCTAGCCCCATTTGTTATCTCCTAATGAGTTCGTCACACCAAGTTGAGACTTGTAGACTCCTGTCAAGTGTAGACGCTATTGCACAGCCTTACAGGAGTATACAGATCTTCACAGGTAGCATGGGCAGTTTCGATGGAAACCAGCAAATTGCCCACACCAAGCCGAACGGCGCTCTGACTTCATTCTAGCATTGATACTGGTATATTGGTGGTGCGAAGTGGTAAGAATGAAGGAACATTTTTGAAAGGAGGTATTTTCAGAGCGGAAGCATTCTGTGCGAATTGCCGTGAACTGCTTTGCGGGTTGTGTGTAGTCGCTCATCAGAGAGTTCGCGTCACACGCGATCATGTCGTCATATCTCTGCAACAGCTCCTCAATCACATGGTTTATTTTGGATAATTTTGTGGTTTCTTTATCGCACATGATTATAGCATAGCATTGCAGTGTTACGGTAATGTTGATAATTTCAGACTGCAAATGCGTTTGGTGCAGGAGAGAATGGTGTCCTTGGTGGATCATCAGATTCTTCGCCAAGACCGTCTTCAGTGTGTTCAACGCATGATGCGAAGGTGTTCTGTTCGTGTGAGACTTGTGGTAGGGTGACACTGTGTGCTCACTGTATCTCACGTCATTCAGCCCATCACATCGTTCCTTTAGGTATGTTTACTCGGAAGTAATTGAGAAATACAGCTTGGTTTGCTGCGGATGATAGGGCGTGTCCGCGGTGCTGCGTTTGGCACGGCGCCGACCCGTTTTTTTTCTTCTTTTTTCATTCCGCGGACTACAAGAAGGTACCGTAAATTCGTGTCCGTCATTTTTCACCAGTTGTTGTCACTTACCCGCTCGAACAATTGGTGAAGAATGGTCGTGGCAGCATGCCAAACGTAGCCGCGCGACTCTCCCCATCATCCACAGCGAACCAGACTGTGAGATGTAACTGTCTTTTACGGCTCCCTCCTTTGAGATTTAGTCTTGGAATTTTATTGAAATTCGGGCACAGAGAGACATTAAAGTGGCCTGAAACTATCACTTGGGATAGTTCGACCTATGCAAACACAGATCTCTGTCGCATTTATGTATAAATAACGTCAGACTATGTTTAGAGACGCCAGCGCTTTAGCGTGGGAAATAGACACATTCACTTCTAATCAATGACATCGGTTTCGCGGTCGACTACATTACAGGGCATCTTGATACAACATGCCCTCAGCTAATAAATTTCTATAAAAGGGGCTAATTTGTGATAAAAGTTGGGCTATATAAAGGTTATGAAAAATTGATCAATGACTAGAATGATTAATGTTTATGAAAAAACACAGAAGAGTGTCATTAAATGTTGGACGGATTAGGAGAGCTCGTTTGCCTCAAATATTTTTTTACCGCATAAGTTTAATTTGGTTCCGTCTAGTGCACTCAGGCATATAGTAATTTCCAATGGGGCGTGGGGCTGTTTCACTTTTGGGCAATTTATCCCTTATTGCGCTATCTCCTATATCTCTATCCCTTATAGTAGATTGCGAGTAGATTGAGTTGAGTAGTTATTGGAGGACCTCCTTCGATTTCGCGCTTTGTTCGACAACTTCTTGAAAAAAAAACTGGAAGAGTGAGTGAGGAGCTGGATGGTCTTGGTAAGGTGTGGGCAGGTTGTGAGACACCGGGTTACTGCACCTACCAGCCCGATGCTTGTCATACCTCCATCCTCCTCCCTCCACCCCACTCCCCGCTCGGCGGTGGAAATGAAATTTTGAGAAATCTTGGGGGCGGGGAGGTCGTATACATCCGAAAACTCGCACAACGCGATGCTGTTCCCTTGTTCAATTTACTCGGTTGTCAGTGAGAGTTGTTCTTCAGAGTCCTGGGAAGGGGTTACTTTGTTTGTCCTTTCAAGCCTTGTGGATCGTTTCGTTAGTTTCCAGAGATACTGTATACTTCCAAACGCTTATTTTTTTTCTTACAATGTTCTCTAGGTGATGTGAGAGCATGTGTGGTCTCGATGCTTGCGGAATCACGCCGTAACGAACGCAGTATTGAAGAAGCTGTCGAGAGTGTGCGCACGATGTCTGAACGGGTCGACGCCAGTGTGCAGGTATCCAAGATCTTCTGTACTTCTTCCAGCTTTTCAAGGCTAATCGGTTACTTATAGGCAGCAGCATCTGAACTACGGTCGCTAATACACTTACATATGAGTGCTTTGGAGGAAAGGAAGAGAGAATTGTTGCAGAGAGTTGATACTATCAGACAATCTAAAA